TAGAATAGAATAGAATAGAATAGAATAGAATAGAATAGAATAGAATAGAATAGAATTCTTTACTGGCCAAGTGTGATTGGACACACAAGCAATTTAATTCCAGTGCATAAGCTCTCAGTGTACACACAAGCAACAATGTGATAAGTCACAGATCATAAATCATCGTTACCATCATAATCCATACGATACAAACAACAAGCGATCAACCACAAGACACCAATCAGAGAAGATAGTAGGAAAGATGCGAAAATGAGGAAATGAGGATGATGAGAAAGATAATAGCAACACAGGCCCGCTACGTAAATACGGCTTAACTGCACTCGTCTCCCATTTTGGGAGAATCAAAAAATGCAAAAAGAAAACAAAAAGGGGGAAAGAAATATTTTTTTACAGTCCTGAAAAAGAAAAATGGAGTTTGGGAGATCTACATGGCCGGTATTAATGAAGGCCACCAATGCTTTCTTGATGCTCGTAGGGTTAACTTGCATCTGAGAATGGTACATAAGGATTGTGCCAAAAAAGCCTTAATTAATCCACAAAAAGATTTTTTTAAAAAAACAAAACAACAGCTGGCCATACCTACAAATGAAACGAGGAGTTGCATTGTCAGTTGATGCTCACTTTTCTTTCTTTCTAATTCCTGCCGGAATGAATACAAGTTGACTCTCTAAATTCGTGTCGAGGTTCTGTTGCATTTCTCTCCTTGCATCCAATTTTGCAATAATAGCTCATGGCCTTGTGAGAAATTCAGAGGGTTTTTATTTTTCCTGTCTGGCTGAAGCAGTTGAGAATAGTTCTGGTGAGGGAAGAAATAGCTGGAGTCCTCTCTTCCGGGGTATTTCTGGTATTCCGCTATTTATGGAAAACTAAAGTGCATTCTGGATCCGGGTTTGATTTTAAGCATGCCTTTCCTATTTCTTTAAAACTCTGGAGGATTCTTGGGTTGTTGTTTTTTTTTACTGCAAGCAAGCCAGAGTCTATGATTGGTAGGGCCATAAATCATGTTAAGAAAGTCGTAAATAAATGCCTGTTGCCTGCACAGCATTACTGCATCATTGGGGGATTTTCCCCTGAAAATTAAAGTTTGCTAAATCGCCTAAATTCCAGTACTTCTGCATTCTCCTCCCTGAAATGTGGAGTTATGTACGTCCTTGAGCCAAAAGACTCAAATCAACCCATAACCTAGATATTTATTTACATGGAAATGAGGCTCCTTCAGTTCTGTGAGTTTTCTGTATGTGGCTTGGACTTAGTTCTCCAATGTATATTATATTATTCTTTCTTTTGTGTTATGTATTTGTAATTCCTTCGATCAAGCCTCTAATATTCTCCTATTTATCTAAGAATATATACAACCAACGGAAAAATAAATATTATGGCTTACTTGACCCGTCTTTCTCTTCTCTTCTTATATAGGTATTACAGAGAAATACTATAAAATGAGTGTAAATGTATAAAATAAAAAATAGCATACAGGAGTGAGTTAAATCATTCTCCCATAATAAACAGTTTTGGGAGATTGGAAGGCTACAGTGATTTAACTTGGAGCATGGATGTCCTTGCTGGACTACATTACCCAGAATGCTTTACTATGGGTCAGGCTGGATACCAGGGCTTAGCTCAGAATAAACCTAAATCAATTTGCTGCACAATCTGTTCATATTTTAATAATCTGTCAACAAAAAGAACCAATGTGAGTATTTTACAACATCCACAAACTCAAATGTAACCAGAATGTTCAAGCAGGAGACCATCCATCATTCCAGACAAATGGTTGTCCAGTCTCTTCTTAAAAGCCTCCAGTGTTGGAGCACCCACAATTTATGAAAACAAGTGTCAGGTTTCAGTGTTGTCTCGAAATAAATTGCATTTCCAAACAAATAGTCTTTGATGAAATCTTTCATTTATTAAGCATGACAATCTGTCCCTGATTATATCATAGCCAACACTGACTTCCTGACCCCAAACCTTCCCTTTCCGTTCCCCAATTCTCTGCATCTCATTGGCCATCTTCCAAATCACTCTCCCCATATCTACTACTTCAGCTCCCAGGAATGTCCCCCCTCCCCTCCCATCTCCTAGGGGATATTATCTTCAGGGAAAATAAGTAGGTGAAAAGTCAAGCGTCCTCTTGCCAGCTGCCCCCTCTTCTC